TTTTAGAGAGTGGTGGCTGAGGGGAGGCAATACATGTGTGTTTGTAAGAAGAAGGCAGTGAACGTACTGCTCTAAGGAAAGAAAAAGAATAAAAAACAATAGGTAAGAGAATTCCAGGTTTAGAAATTTTTTGAACTTTCTAAAACTCTGATAGTTGTTCACTGGAATAGATTATTTAAGGAGAATCACTGTCTTTGTAGATTGCAAAATCCAGGTGGGATTAACACCTGTTAAAAGTTGTGTAGATAGAGTTGTTCCAGCTTCACATCTGGGTGCTAGATGCATATTCTGTAGACTATATAATAAATCTGTGCAGAAATGAAACATCAAATTTCCGTTAAAAGGCAACATGCAGAAAGTTCACATTTTTGTCCAGCTGTGCTTTATGGACACCTTAACAGTACAGGCCTCAGAGGTTCACACAAGAGAAGAATGGTGTTCACTTTGTCTCAGGACAATGAAGTCTATTATTAGATCTGTGCCATGTCCATTAGGAAGTGCTGGCCCTGTCCCTAATCGATGTAATTTAAACTATGCAGTAGGAGGGGATCTCTTAAGGGTATCAAAACCAACAGAACATCTGAATTAGTAAGCAAAATAAAATTGTTTCCAGCAAATGTCTCTATCCTCTCTGGCTACAGGGGCACTGGGACCTTTGCAGACTCTCAGGGGGTGTGGTGAACACGTGTGTGCTGAGGGGCATTTCCAGCCACTTCTTGTTTGGAGGATTTAATGCAGAGACTTGTTTGAGATCAGGTACCTCCACTGTCAAAGCATCATCAACAACCTGAATCTCTTGGGAGGAAAACCAAAACATCACATCAACCCGCTAGTCTGGTCTAAATTTTTTATTTACTTATTTATTTTTTTCCCCCACTCCCTGAAACGTGCCCTGGGCCAAAGGGAGTTGTTTGGGTTTTTAGATCCAAAACTTTTGCTGATACTCCATAAAAATGCCAGTTCCCAGTCTGTTCTATGTGCCACCTTTAGTGACTTTGCCAAGCACCTTCTTTCTTGTATTAAAGTCTGGCAAGCTCTTCAAGCAAAAATATTCTGTCTGTACTTCAGAAGGAGCCTTTACTCGTCTGTGTTTGCCTGGAAACTGTTTGCAGGAGAGTTGTGTGTTCCCCATAGGGGGAGAACAGCTCCTGCTGCTCACTGCAAACCAACTCAATCCCTCTGTTTCTGCCCTTCAGAAAGGATCCCAGTTCTCAGTGCAGACCCCAGGATTTGCTCTGTACCTGTCTGTGCCCTACAGCATGTTCTGGATTCAGCCACTCTGTCAGTAGCTTTCACAACAGCATCAGAACTCCTGGAATACAACTGGATTTGCCAGCATAGGAGGTTTTTATTCCTGAGTGGAGACCAAATATAGATAAATGAACTGCTTAATTTCAAAATTAATACAGAAAATTGAAAAAGAACATTATATTTGTGTTAGAGGATTTTAAATTGACCTGCTCCCCAGATGTAGGAGCAAGAGGCTTGTGGTTTCTTCCCCAAGAATTTAATCCTGCGGGCACAGCTCATGTGGAGCAAGTCCTTAGTCACAGAACAGTTTGTTTTGACAGTCCTAAATGATCCATACGAGTCACCCTTGCTGTACAAGAATTAAGTAATGTCTCCATGTCAGCACTTTGCTGAGAGCATGCTGAAGTTAATTTGCACCCCAGGTCAGAGCCCAGATTCTTTCAAAGGAGTGACACTGAGCATAACTTTTTGGATGTCTGTAGACCTTGGCTGAGGTCTTGGCAGCACCGTGTGTGTGAGTGTCCTGCACAAGACCAATGAGAAACCAGAGCAGCTGTTCCCAGGCCTTGGCTTTGACTTATGACTAGTCACAGAAATTGTCCAAATTCATTTTACTGCTGAACACATCAGCAAGTAAAGATCTATTAAATTACCAATGGTAATTGCCATCACTTGTTTCTGGTACTTTGTATTTAAAAAAATTACAAACTCTTTACCTGAAGGTTGTTCACTTCGGTGTGTTACACAGGACAAAGGAGATCCACAGGTATTCCCACACTTCTCTGCTTTTGCTGGCAGAGCACGAAGGCAGAGACTTCATGTAATGAATTGAATGACAGTTCTGTGCAGAGAGTAAAAACCAATGACAAACATCACTGCTGTGACCTTAATTTTCCTGTCGTTTACCCCTTTTGAATGATGCTTAGAACTGGTATCAATCAAGTATTATCTTCAAGAGAGAGAATAACTGTGCAGAGTCAGATCTTTCTTTTCTATGTGACTCATCCTTAATTGCCTGCATTCAACAAAGGACAATTCAGTTTGTGTGGAAACAGAGGAGATCTCAAAGGGAGAGTTACAAACAGCTCCTTCTCTCTGAAGTGCTTCTTGATGGAGCCATGATGGACCAACACCTACAGAGCCAATTCCAGCTGCAGGTTATTTCAAATTTATCTAGACAAAACAGAAAAGTTCTGGATTATTACTAATACACACTGCAGACAGAAGCCTGAGGTGCAAAGAGTGGTCAATTCATAAATCTCACGTGACATTATCTAAAACTGAACAGCTGGAGAAAAAAGTCAAGTTTTTCATTCTACCTTCAGGATAAAAGATGCTTGGAAGTAAAAACATTTGGAAGGGTATTATCTACCAGATTTATAGCATTTTTTTTTGAAAAGTTACCGTTCTACTTATTTGCACTGTACAAGGCAGGTGCATTCACGGTCTCTTCAATGTTCCTTTCATTTGTTCAAGTTTCCTTTCGCCCACTTATTTCAGTTGTGACCAAGGGTAATCTGGATTTCTTTGGGTCAAAGATAAGGATAAATACCAAAGGACCTGGACGTGCACTGGATGTTTGTTCTTCACCTGCTGCCTGTGCCTGTTTGTGCCTTCAGGACTCGTAGAGCTGAGGATGGACATGGAATGATGCCTTATGAAACAAGTTTAAAGCATTCTAGTATGGTAATATCTACTATTTGCTTTGTTCTGATTTAAATAACTCCATGACTTGCCAGCTCAGGGGAGGAGTAGGTCCAGCACTATCTGTCTTAGTCCAGCAGACCTCAGTGGGATTTATAAACAATATTTTCAGGAATCTTATCAATCATCCTTAAACCCAACCACCTTTAACATGTACCACATGAGCACCACGTTAACAAATAGACCTGGAAAGGGACCCATTCACACCCACTTTATTATACCCTGCATACAGTTTTTAATGCAAAAAAATATCTACTTGTGCTTTTGCTCAGGGGTTGTTCCTCTCAGTACCACAATAGCAATAGCATGGCATTATCTGGAGTCTTTGTACCTCAGGCCAGTGATTTAGATGGCAACGTGCTGGTGAGATTTGGCCCAACATTTTTTCCTATTGCATTTCCCTCAGTACTTTCCATGTAAAGAGCTGGATGCTGTAGAAGGTAACCCTGTTCTGTGGGTGTGGAACCCAAATTCATACCTGTAGATGTCTAGAAGCAAAAGGGAGATTTGTAAAGCCTGGCAGGTCATAAAAACCTCTAGTAAAGGAAATTTAAGGTTATTTGCTAGGAATTTAAGTTTTTCTCTGTCTACATCACAGATTTTTCTTACATACAATCTAAACTCTTTTCAATGCAAATTAAGCTCTGATTGTACAGATAGTGGTCAGTCTGTTGTATACCACAAGCTGTTTTCATCTGTGCCCTCCTTTCTTTCTAAAGAGATCTACCTCGTTTAATTTTTCCTTGCATCGCCTTTGGCTGTCCTCTGAACTCTCTTCTCTTTGAGATCTGTCCATCTCTGAGTGCAGTGGTTACAACTGGACCCTGTCTCCCAGCTGAAGACTCCCCAGTGAAAACAGAGCAGAAAAAATGACTTCCCTGACTACAGATGACACTGCCAAAGCCAGGCCCACTTAAGGTGCTTTGTTTGCAGCCAGGCCTTTGACTCCTGATAATTCCACGGTCACTGCCATCCTCCCAGTACCATACGCACAAACAGACTCCCTCCTCCAGGCACCATGGGGAACTTACCTTTGTAATGCCTTGATTTGGGATCATCTTTCCAACACGCTGCTCTTGAGTTTGCATTGTCTCCTGTGGTATTTGCAGCCGTGGTGGTGCCAGTTGCAGGCACACAAGGTGGGTTTCCCGTGGCCATGCAGCTTAGCCCGCTGGGGGACAGGGAAGCTCAGCAGGACCTTTGATTTTTCAGAAGTTATTTGGTGTTTTTCTTGCTCTGGACTTAAAATGTGCTGTGAGCATAAAATGCCACTGTGGGATGGGAATAGATTTTTAAAAAAGAATTATTGGAAACTAAGCATGAACAAAAAAAGGACGTCCCCTTTGCCATCTCTGAGGGGCGGGGGGCTGACCCTAAAAAGAAACAGTGCAAAAGCTCCTGCTTGTTGGGACATGCAGGTGGGCTGCTGTGCTTTTCTTTTATGAACATGCAAGAGCTGCAATTACTGGGGGAAAGGGCAAGGCTTTTTTATGAGAAGCAATCACAGAGACTCACTTTTTCCAAAAGGTACATTGTACTTGCTCTCAGATTGTTGCGCTGTGTGGTGATGAATAACACTTGGAAGCAGATGTCAAAAGCATCAGTGCTCAGTGGAAATAGTACATTTTTTCCATTTTATGTCTAGTTTAGACTATATTAAAGAGGAGGGAAAAAATTTAAAAGCTGAAAACATGCTGAAACAAGTTAGAGTTGTAACAGAATTGACGACAGCCAGGAAATTCCAAGTTCGGGTCCTCACTCTGGGCACTCAGACTAAGAGTTCACCACTAACCCTTGGGTTAGTGTTGGTCACAACAGCTTCATCCTTGTTATTTGCTGTTATGTGTGTGCCTGTTTGATGCTGGCTGTTTTTCTCTTTTCTTTTGATCTTTCAGAAGAATTTCTGAAGTCCGTGTCCTGCCCCGTGTGCCTTCATACCAGTTCAAAGCTGTCAGGGAACTATGAACTTTATAAACACCCGTCTAAAATGCTCTGCATCCCAGAAAGGTCACAGAAGGTTTGTTCCAGCGACAAGAATGAACACAAATATGAACTTCTATCGCTGTTTATTAAAGCATGTGATATTCACATAAACATTGCAATATTTTCTTTGCATGTGTTAGTAATAAAAACTTTCCGTATTACTAAAATCTGAATATTTAAATCATGTAATGTTATTTTTTCTTGAAGGTAATATCAAATTATATTTTACTCAAATGTTGACAACAAAAGCTGATCTGCCTGGGTTCGCTTTGATCCTCCTGTGAATGGCACGGAACAGTTCCATGTGCATATAGTGAGGTACAAGCCAGATTACACATTAATAAATGCAGTGTAACCATGCCAACCTTGATGCCCATGCTCTGTTTACCCTGCTCCTCTGATGTGGCCAGATTGTGCATTTCTTCCATTTGTTAAGTTTGGAAAAGTGATATGATCTGAAGATTTATAGACCATGAAGATTATGGTCAAAAGTGGGCTATTGTGGTCATGTAGAGCAGTTATGGATCACAGGGATTAATCCCTGTTGAAACAGAAGAATCCTGATCTTACAGTTTCCACGGATTCAGCAGTCTGTTTTCACTTGTTCCAACAGTTGGTAACCAGAGTGTTAAATGTGCTCCTCAACTCTTACTCTCTATTTGTGCACCTTTTACCCACTGCACTTGAAAGCATTTTATTTCTCAGACCTCTTCTCTTAGGTACTTACAATGTTAGCATGGAATCCTCTCTAATAAATTAAACCAATGTCACTCCCAGACACCTTTACCCAGAACCTGTTCAGTTATTAATCCTGAACCAAAACGAATAAGGTCAAGTCAGAATTTGTCGATGCCAAATCTTGGGGTGGCAACTGCACCAGTACCAGACCCAGAGATGGTGTGACCACACTTCCCATATAGGATATTCCATGTTTGAGAGTTTTTGATTACCTACCTATCCGTGTGATCCCTGAAAAGGAGCTGGAGTGGTCGTGGAGCAGATGGAAGCCCCTGCAGGAAGGCTGTAGGCTGAATGTATGACCTGGGATTTGGCTGTACAGGGGCTGGTGCTGCTGCCCCACTTCCCACGGGATGCAGATCCCTATCAGTGACCATGCTCTTCCCACTTTCTCTTCCCACAATGTTTTCCACAGTCATCCTTGGCCAATGTTTATTTTATGCTTCTTCAACACCAGAGTGTGTTAACATAGTCCCAAAATCACTCGTGATTATCAGCAGGCAAGTGTATTTCTGATCCTCCTTTTAAATGCAGACAATTGATTAATCTTAGTTAATTTTAAATCTTCTTAATATCTCCCATGTTGATTTTGTCTTTCTGGCTTCTTGATGAACAGCTTTTGCAGAAGTTCAGCCAAAATAGCTTTCTGTGAACCCCTATTGATTTGGGTTGGGTGTAAATGCTCTTTGAGTGTCATGGGCTGAAATACTTGCTGTTATCCCTGTTTTTCCCTGTCTGGGAAGGGAGGCTGACCAGGCTGTCTTTGGCCAGACTGTCCAACCTACCCTTTTTAGAAAACTGGCACATCACCAGCTTTCTTTTAGTCCTCTGGAAATTCCACTGTCTTTCAAGAATTCCAAATATTCCAAGACTTATGATGTCGTGCGATCTTGAATCCAAACTCCCCACCACATTTCCCTTCACAAAAATAACCATGAACTTTCTAAATTCAATTTATTTCTTTAAAGCATTTCCAATGGTATAATGTTTTGTAGAATGTCTTTTATTGCAAAACCTAAATTTGAAGCCGAAAAGCTGGTTGGTTTTATCTTTAAAAACATGTTTTTTAAAAGATTCTCATTGTTCTACCCAAGCCATTCCAGTCTGTGGTATAAATAATTGTTTTAGTGTCTATTATCCTTAAACACACTGTGTGAAGAAAGTGAAATTCCAGCTGGACAAGTGTAGATAATTAATTTTGGGGCAAGTTGTATTTCAAGTATACAGGGTTTGAATTTTCTGTTTGAAGTAGATTCATCATTTATCTAAACACGAGGCATTAATGTGTATTTTTTGAAGGAATATGATCAAAACCACAATGCAGACCAGGTTAGTTTTAAAAACCAGAGAATCTGGACACCCGCAGGGTGTTTAAGGAAAGTACAAATTGTCACCTCCAAAGTACCTAAAGAAACAGGAAAACTGTGAGGGAGAAGTTTCAGATGAGCCCTGGGATCAGTTGGAGTTATTTGTTAGACTGGGAGCAGGGTTATGGCTGTTCTGAGGTTTGAAGGTTACGAGGAGGAGATCCCAGGCAGCATGGAAAGAGCAGGGTCAGCAGGTGAGGACATGCTGGGGCTGCCCCCTGTGCTCCCAGTCAGAGGAAGGGATGAGCACAGCTCCAGTGTTTTATGAAGGCATGTTCTAAAGTTCAAACACATCTTGCCTGGAGCTGTTCCTCTTCTGGTGCCCTCTTGATGTGAATGGAAAATGTTTTAGCACTTGAGCAGGTCCTTGGAAGGTCTTTCAGGAGCAGTGGCTGCAAACAAATGGTGGTCATTTGTCTGAGCAAGGTGAAGGATCCACGGGAATTTCAGCCACACAACTATATTCTCCTGTGCTTGATAAAACTATTTGTTCTCAAACCAACCTTCTATTTGAGCAGTGTAGCTGAGGCTAGGTGCTTATTCCTAACAGTGTTCGTGCTATAAGCTTTGAGTTATCCTCCAAGGCTTGATGCCTTTGGTGGTGTGGCTTTTCTAAAAAGCCAATGGACATTGTCACACATTAAACTAATGTCAGTCACTGTCTAAAACTGAAACTGTCTCAGTGGTGGATATATATGGCTTACAGGTTTAAAGCATTTTAAAACCAGTAACCTATTAAATACAGAACAGTTTTGTAGCATGAGAACCACTTTCTCTGTTTTACAGTTGAGGGAAAACGATGAATAATATACAGCAGTGACAGAGATGGTGGGAAAACTCTGGAATGTTGAACATCAGGGCACCTTCAAGGACCCTGTTCTCTCCTTTGGCTCATATGGCTTCTATTAGCTACAGCATTTCACTTTTTTTATCAGTGGCTTTAATATTAAAAGACATTATCCTTGGTGAACTTCTGTTTAGCAAATGTGCTTTCTGCCTTCAATCTGGTAAATGCAACCCAGAGCTCCCAAGGTTAGTGCCAAGTGAAAAAGCCCCATGAAAATGGACAAAACAACCAAAATCAAGCAAAAGTATGGCCAAGATCAGTCTTCCTCATCCCAGTATTGTTGTCAGGGAGCATAAGGACTGATCTGACCTTAATGAAATATTTGGAAGTGCTGCCTTGCAGGGAGCACAACTGATCTGCAGCATCCCTGCCAGATCACGCTGCTGGCTACGTGTGGCATTGGTGGGTGTGAATGAGTCTTTGATGCTCCCTTTTATTAAACTGGAAAAAATAATTATCTGGAGTCCAGTGCAAGCTGCACCCCATCCAGCTGTCTGAGTGGGCAGTGAAATGGGATGTTTGGGGGAGTGATGAGGATGTTGAGGGTGAATGTTTTGGTGTGTTCATCCAAACTCTATGGCATTCACCTCTATTTGGGATTTTCTACAAATTGTGAATTCAGCCCTGATTCAGTAGCAGCCACAGCAGGTAGCAAAGCATCAGTTGGCCCTCGTAGTGCTCATGGTACTCTTTTTAGGTTAGGGGTTCTATCCCTTTGCTTTCCCATATAGTGTCAGACACACTTCTAAAACTCAGTAAACTATAAATAATAATAGCAACCCACATGAAATTTTATGATCTTGACTCATATCTGGTTTAGGTTTTGGGCTTTGTTAAAAATCTGCAAATTAAAACCTGCGTATTTGTGGGTTTGCAGTGACCTCACTCTGAAATCCTGCCTGCCAGGGCAGCAGCCAGAGCCCTGTGGTGTGTGTCCTGCAGGGTTACTTCCACCCCTTCCCCAGCCTTCCATACCCCACATTGTGTGAGAGTAAGAACCACACCATTAAACCTTGGGAAAATGTGTTATTTATGGGACT